ATTGGGCTGAGCCCCAGCAGAGCCAACAACATTTTAAGCCATGGTGACTCCACAGCCCAGAACTGTTCGGTATGCGTGTGTACTCCAGATACCCTCAACAAGGGATCCATATGCTAGTTAGCCCTCCTTTTTATAACTAAAACCAAATGTTCTGGTCACAAGTCCTGGGATCCTCCAAAAATATACGTGCAGATGAAGTGCAGGGTCTGGCTCCTCTCAAGCAGGGTGGGATCACATGAGTCGCATGTGAGGAGCAGCGGGGGGCGACAGCCTCTCATTTACACAGACATTGTGTGATGTTTGCTAGACATTTATGGCTGGTGAACAAACTAGAATAACTGGAAATGGGAAAGAAAGGCACTGCCCAGCTGGGGCAGTAAAGAAGCTGAAATGCATTCAGTGTACCTGTTCACCATGAGTTGAAAAAGAGTTGGCGCTAAAGGGGACTGAGCATAATGGGCACTATAGTTTATTCAGATGGGCTGCACTGTACCTCCAGGAACAACTGCCCCCTTTTTTTAAGGACCACACACTCAGGCACACATGCAAAAAAGAAAAGTTCCTAACAGCAATGTTTGTCTACTATGGATCATGTGTTTTATAGGAACGCTTAGTGTGGGCTTCATTCAATCAACTTTACAGTTGGTTTCTACTAGTGAGCACTTGCTAATGATAGTGTGGAAGAAATCAAACTTTGGGTTGTGGTTGAATCAGAACTGACAGAGCCAGCTTTTCTTTATTTAGGGCTATACTGTCTCGAACTCTATAAGTTTACGAACATATTTATACTTAAGACAAGAGAGAGAGAAAAAAAATACTACCTTGGAGAAACAAAACAATGGTAAAGCACACACGGCATACAGACAGTTTACTTAAAGAAAACATCTGTGGACAGGGTAATATATCAAGACAAAACAAGGCATGCAGGATTCCTTATCTCAGAACATATAACTGAAATAAGCAGTATCAGCACTTCTGGTCTCTGTCTGTTTTCCTAGTCAAGCAGGCCAGAAACCCAACCAAATACACTACCACAATAGGCAACATATTTAGTGAGGTTTTCTTGTATGTGAACATAAGAGGAGGGGCTCTTCTCCCATGCTGATTGGAGGAATAAACCTTACTTGAGTAAATGCAGTAAATTAGTTGCGTTCTAGAAAAGATTACAAAAAGATTTTTCTATAAAAAGATGCAAACATTTGGATTGAGAGAGGGACAAGACCAAAGTGTTTAAAATAGAAACTGGTATTGAGTTGGTAGATCAGGATATTCAATGTGATTCGAAGTGACATTCAAAATTAATAAAAGGCAATACTTTTTCACACAAGCACTTTGTGATAGAAAGTTGTTAATGTGAAGGTCTTTATCAGGATTCAGAGACAAAATATTATAATGGACAAAAACTTTCCAGAGTGACCAGTGTAAAGCTAACTTTTTTGGATTGAGGTTAATCCAAATTTGAATTATAAAGGATTAAAATGAGGCTTCTTGTGGATATCAACTATCTCGCATCCATCTATGAAAGGGGGTTGCTTTCCCTGAGCTTTTTGGTTTTGATCATGTCATACTGATTCAATATGAAAATTTCTGTTTCTTTTACATGGCCCAGGTAATATAAATCAGAGGTTCCCTTCGTACCAGGCTGTGAAGGGTTGGCTTCAGGGTTATGGCCCAAGCCCCCTGCTCAGACCCCTGTCTGTCCACCCAGGTGAGCAGCTTCTGCTGCCAGCTGTCACATGCGGGGTTAAAGCTGGGCAGCAGGGCAGACCTGAGAGAGAAGCAGCCTGCTCCATGCACCCCATCCTGGTTCCGTACTGGTCCGCAGGTTGGGAACCACTGATGTAAATAACCAGGGTTTTGTGAGCTTTAAGTGTGACCTCGTATGTGGCAATCAATATTGTTCTAAGCTCAAATAACAAGTGCAAGAGACTCTCAAAATAAATGAATAAATAAATTGCTCCTTTTGTGTGCTGAAAGTATCTCTTACTCTGACTGAGACATGAGTGCAGGCAGTCCTTGCACTTACAGCAGGTTACATTTCTGGAAAAGGCATTGCAAGTTTAAATTGATTTTTCCCATAGAAACAATGTTTTATAATAGGGGGTTATGTTCCTGACCAAGGGCCTGATGCCCACCTTTTTATAGAAATGACCATAAACACCATATTTAAATAAACTATTTAATCAATTATAAATGATATACACTGTACAGTAAAAAGCCTTCTAAAGTGTACTGTATATAAATCGATTAAACAGGGCAATACAGTAACTAATCACATAAAATTGTATTTAATCAGAAGGTGAAGGAACACCTTCATCAGGGTTATGGAATTCAGAAGGGCTTCTTTGGGGAAACTTAGGGCCACTTGATGGCTTTTTCAGAAACTGATCCAGGGATGTTTGTTTTGCTGCCCTCTCTTTCTCATTGTAAATTTCCCTGTAGTGCCATAAGTGCGAGGATCCAGCGCCATAAGTAATAACATGGATGTAAATGGCAGAGTGCCACAAGTGCGAATCGCCCTAAGTTGAAACGCCTTAGTCGAGGACTGCCTGTATAGTTTGTTTTTTTTTAACGTTACTCCATATTTGAATAAATGATTTCTAATTTCTGAATCTGTGCAGGTATACAGTGACGATTTTGTTTAGTAAGAAATCTAGCTTGATTATTTTTTTTTGTTTTTTAATGGAAACTGAATGCAATTATGATTCCCTTTGTAACTGTAATATAGGTTGCCTACTATACCGCTGAATTTGCCCAACGAGCTATTTTACTTTTTCCTTCATCTTGCCTATTCTTCCTATCCATTGCAGCTAAAAAACTTTGGAGCAGAGTTGAACAAAATGAAATCCTATTTTACCAAGAAGAGCAAAGTTTTGGCGCACAATGGGAAAGTGCAATTGTATGGCAAACTGTTGCAGGATATACAGGTAATTTGGTAGTAAAAGGGGAAAAATACTGTAAGCAATCAGTAGGGATTCCTGGTTTATTTTTTTTTGTATTTTAAATGTGTATATGAATGTGCAAGTTCTGCATGTACCTGTTTTAATGTAAGTGTTCATTTTGTTACTGTAACTTTTGGGGTCAGAAGTTGTCCTTCCATGTTCTTACACAGCAAAAGTCTGATCTTGGTTTGGACTTTTAGATGCTTCTGGAGTACATATTGAGAGAAAAAAAATTATATTTACTTGAATCCTAGACAAGTTTTTTTTTTTTTTTTTCTCCTCAAACAACATGGTGGGGGGCGAAGTCTCGTCTTGGATCTGAGTACCTGCTTGGGGTAGGTGGTAGCTCAGCTCCAACTTTGGCCCTAGGCGTGGAGCTGAGCTGCCACCTGCCCTGGGCTGGGCTGGCCTGTGCAGTGGGGTAAGGGGTATGTGCCTGAGGGAGTGAAGGTAGACCATGCAGTGTGGGGCGAGATCCGTGTGTGTGTACGGTCTCTCCTGAAGCCATAATCTGCCCTCCCCCTGCTGCTTACTTTCTGCTCAAGCTCCTCTGACCTGGCCCAGCCAGAGCTGCTGCTGCTGCTTCTCCCTAGCCAAGGCAGCCACCACTGACTGCCCCATAGCCAAAGCAGAGCAGCAGAAGGTAAACAGTGGGATTACACAGGTTATGGGATAGAAGCGTCAGGATGGTGTTGGGGGGGGACAGGTGGCAGGGAGGGCAAGAGGGGTCTGGCCCCTTGCCCCCCCTCCTAAATTGAATTTTAAGATGACAAATTATAATAAACTTATAATTTTCCATGCATAGAATTTAATTATTGGGAAGATCATATTAAATTTGAAGTTGTCTTTAATTTAAGTGAACGCAGTAGCAATGACAGGCACTGCCATAGAGAGCTTTTAAAGGAGTATGCTGGTGTAAGCCACCAATGAGAGAGAGAGATGAAGCATTTATTCCCTTCTGAAGGGCATCGCAGAAAACTGTATGCCTTAAAGGGTCAAAAGGTTATCACTTGCTCAAGAAAACTATCTTGCTAATGAATTTCTCTCTCAATTTTTCAATCACTTTGCCCAAGAAGAGAAGATGACAGAGGCTGTGTTCTCTGACATCCTTTGCTTGCCTTACTATCTGTCATTCTAGATCCGAATATAACAGATTGCACTGGCTTTGGTCGAGCTCCTAGCAAACAAAGATCAGTTCAAGGTTCTAGTAAACTGAGATGTATTTTTTTTAAATATACCTGTTTTGTGAAAATGCAGTACAAAATATAAATATCCAGTTTTTCCCCTTAGGTCCAATGGGAAAATCTGCATTCAAGAATGGCAAAAGTAGATGAATTTCTTAAGGAGGTGGATAACTGTCATCTTGCTCTGGAAACAAGTAAGCATTTCAGATCCTGTCTCAAGAATTTTCATTTACCAGTTTGTGGACAGCTCTAATCTGTTATGAAGGGGTGCAGGTGGAAGGGGGTACAAATAGCAGGAAGACCAGGCAGTAGGAGGGGCTTGTAGCATGCTTGCCAGCTTGAGCCCCACATGCCATATGCACCCACATGCCATATGTACCCACCCTGACCCCATATGTTGCATGTAGGGTTTGTCTGGGAGTACACTGCACACTGTTTGGAGGGGCTGGTAAGGAGCGCACACTGCATGGTGCACCTATGCCAGATTGACCCTGTGTGCTAGTTCTGGCATGTAGGGCCAGTCTGTGGGCCCAGTCTAGACTGGCCCCAAATCCAGTGTACTGCAGGAGCTGCATGCAAGCACTCACCCCAGACAGGCCCCCCACCATATGCAGTCCTCACCAGATGGGCCCTACATGTGCATGCAGGGCTGGGGCCATTATGTGCTGCATGCAGCAGACAGCACTGCGGGTTGGATGATACAACTCTGCAGACCGCATCCAGCCCACTGATTGATGCCCCTGCTGTGCATGGAAACTTAGAAGAAATGTATATGTTTTCTATATATAGAATCCAGTTATTGGCAGGTCATCTTAAATGAAAAGGTGTCTTGGATTCAGGTAAATCCAGTGCCCTCTTCAGCTGGGCCAGGAAATGTGACAGGAAAGCACCTGTCAATGTGCTGCTATTAGAAGCCTTGAAAAATGACAGGAGCTAGTCATTTTCATGGCTCTCAACACTGCAGGAGGACAGTGCTGTGTATTTAATGAACATTGCTTACCTTAAATTTGAGTAAATGCATACTTCAGGTATGTGCATAGCCTTTTTTCAGCCTTGAGGCAATACAGTGTACATAACCTCACTTCAAAGTAACTAGCTTTGGTTCTGGGAAGTGTAATCAGTAGCAAATGATTCAGCACTGGTAGCAAAAACTGCCTAGGAGCCTGGCAGAACATTTGGACAAGAAGACTGAGCTGAGCACTGTGCTGACAAAATGACCCTGTTATCAGTGCTTAGGGTAGTTTAAGTACATCTAGAGAAGTCACACCCTTTGAATGGCAATGTAAACATAACCTAATTAACCAGATTCGATTTTAATTTTAGAATTGATTTTTATTTGGTGTGCCAAGAAAAAATTGGACTGAGTTTCAAAATTGCTGCAATGGGATACATCACAAACAAGACTTTACCCATAAACTTAATACTATCTAAAATTCTGTGTGCTTAATATGTAGCTGCTGGTTTCTTGTCTCATTTGCTCAATTGTCATTTTTACAAAATTGAAGTTCTGTTTTAATACTTGAAAACAATTGAAACCAAAATGTTGAGGGTGACTGATTCAGGCATAGTTTGCATTCTCAAAAGGGGCCCTGCAGTGCCTTAGAGTGGGGGGGGCCAGCCTGCAGCATACATGCTATAAGTAGCCTGGGCAGCTTCTGTGTGTGGCACATGATGGACCAGGGTGGGGATGGGCAGATAGGGCAGGGAGTAGAAAGCAGAGCAGCCAGTCGGGCAGGGGAAGGGGGCCAGAAGGACATTTGGGAGGGGATGGGACTAATTTGTTGGACACCTGTCAAAAAGGTTGGCCCCCACTGCCCTAGAATTGTGTCTTAGATTAGAAGGCTTGTCTAATTCCATCCCAACTATGCAGTTAGTTCAATAAAAGAAATGCTTGCCTCGTGATAGAAGTGTTAGATGACATTCTTTATCCCCTAGGTACTAACTTGGAAGATTATGGCACAGAGAATGATGATCAATTGTCAGAGTGGAAATCCAGAATCAGAAATTCTGAGAATGGTAATAGGACCAGTCATATTTGTTGTTAGTTCTGGGGTCAGGAACTGTTTAGTTTTTTTTTGGTTTTTGGTTGTCATCTCCTGCATCCACCCCCTAAAGGAATGTAATCACTAGGCTGGTTCAAAATAGACTCTTTCTATTGGGCTGGGAATAGCTATTCACATAAACCATTCTTTTTACGTTTTCCTGCCTTTTTGCTGGAAAATAAAAACTCTGATGCAGAGCTAAACAGAATACTTACAGGCTACAGTATATTGTTTTCTAAGTGCTGGATAATTATCAACTTCTTGTTGACCATGTGTTTGCCATGTAGGAGGGACAATTACACTCAGTGGAATTTTTAATTTTGTTAAGAACCATAGCTTCATAACCAAACTGGCTTTTTCATACTGTTTTTATTCTCTTTCTCATATCTTTTTATTTTTGTTTTATTTAGAGCTGGTAGATCTCAAAGCCCAAGAAGAGGTGCTTCAAAGGTAGACCATCAAATAGTGATTTTTTTTTTTAGCTCTTCAAATCCTGTGTGCACAGTCAGGTTCTAGCATTTGTATCGGAGTTATTTGCCTTTCCAGGAACATCTAATCTTGTTGCCGTATTTCCACAGGGATCTGTCAAACCTGGAGGCTGAGAAGCAGCAGGTGCTTGCTGAGATAAAACACCTAAAAAAGAAAACAAATGACTGTCAGGAACTCTTGGAAAGATACAAGTAAGGAAAGGAAAAAGGGTCTTCAGCTTTTGATTTTTTTAATTGTTTTTAAAGTTGCAGATCAACTAATTTCCTCCCCCAATGATGGTAGTACTAATGTATTAATTTTTGTTACATTTAGATGCCTATCTCCTAGCAATATAGGATTAGCAATAAAACTGCAGTGAATGTAGTGTGCTATGTAATGTACTGATTTTAATAATGGCTAATGGGTCACTGCAAAATCTTCACTTTTCCTCTAATAGATTCATCATTCCCAGCCTTCCAAAATGATTTAGTATTATTCCTTAACAAGACAGATGTTTCAAGGTTTCCTGTGGAGCTATATTTATTTTCCAACTAACACAATATTCCATTAGGAAGTGAAATATCCAGTTGCCATTTAAGTGTTTCTATGTTGGTAGATGGTATACATGCACCTTGTGCTCTGATCCTTTTTGTTTTAGAGAATTAGCTCCTTATTTTGGTTGTAACTGTTTTTCTTCTTTAGCTTCACTGAGTGGGAGATCAGTGAATGGAGTGACCACCAGGCAGTTTTCACCTTCCTTTATGATTCTATAGAACTCACTCTCAGGTTTGGACCACCAATAGGTAAATGAAATAAGCAAAAGGTTTTTTCCTTGGCTTTCAAATTTAGCTACATGACAGAAACCCACTGGATCTGGTTTACATCTTTTGGGTTGAGTGGTAGTAGTTACTCCAGCAGGAGAAAAAGAAAACCTAATGAGGAGTGAGAACTTAGACTATGAGAAGTTAAATATAATTATGGGTTGAAGGGTTGGTGCATGTACTTTTTAATCAAATGACTGAAGCATGTTGGGAAGGGTGACTATATTAGATGTGAAGAAACATGAGGTGTTTGGTAGTTAAATGGGTGACTGTCAGGGCCATCCTGGGGCACGCAAATCAGGGTGACTGCCCCAGGCCCCACACTTTGGGGGGGCCCGTGGAGCTGGACAGAGCAGTGGCTCCGTGTCTAGCTGCTGGCTACCATCCACCCCCCCAACCGCTGATGCCACCACTACCGATGGCGGCAGCAGCTTCTTCAGGTCCAGGGCCCATGGGATCGGAGCAGCGTCAGGGCCCTGCATGGGCTGATTTGCCCTGGCCCTGCACCCTACTCGGGTCATTTCTGGTGACTGTATTAAGTCTAGCACAGAACAATCATGCATTTGTGTATTTTGTCTCTTTCAGATGGTGTTCTTTTCAATGACAAGCCCTGCAAAAAGATTGTTGATGTGAGCTTTGAATCTTTGTTGGATGGTAAGGTTCTCAAATGGTGCTCTGTGCCTTGGTTTTGCCTGTTTCTGGGATGAATCTGCATACTCATCTGCAATTAAATTCCTAGACAGTCCAGAAAGATATCCGCTAATGGTGTAAACTGTTTCCCTCTCTTTCTCTTACAGAAGAGAGAGCTCCACTTTCATCACGTCTAGTCAAAAGGCTGATCTTCCAGTTTATTGAAAGCCAGAAATCCTGGCAGGAAAAATGCCCAACATTAAACCATGTGCCCCAGGTGATGAAGCTGCTAAATTATGAAGCTGTGAGAAGAGCATGAAATCCTTTCTGCCTAATGCATAGAAACTGACAATTAGAAAAGTAGCTTATTAGGGTTTATTTGTAAATGATCTTACTGTTTAAGCCTTTTCCATAAGGAAAGCAGTCCTAAAGGTTATAGTTCCAATAAATCATTATAAAACATGCAGTAACATGTTTGCTTCTCATCTGAATGGTGACTCTAAAATTGTACTTTCCTCAATCAGTCTTTTCCTTCATGGATTGATCTTTTTTGCTTTCCTGACTAAAGTAAGTTTTTAGTTCTTTCTACTGTTATCAGAGCCAACAAAATCACATAAAAATTGAGCTGCATTCCTTTCTGGTTCCTGCAAGAGAATTAATGATTTCAATTGCAACACTTACTATAGCCTTCACTTAACACCTGTGAATCCCACTGAGAACAGAAAGGTTATACCAACATAATGTAGGGCAATCTTTGGACTGTAGATGCTGTATTGACACTTGAACAATTTTATTTTCAGCTCTTACAGTTTATATCTAGCAGTTGCATGTATTTTTTCAAAGTAAAACAGCAGTTTAAAATGTCCCATGGTTCACAAGTAAGCTCTAATGCAATCACTTTTTGTTTGTCCGCTTAGATGCTGCGTGAGGTCTCTCTGGTGGTGTGTCGCTGTCGACTCTTAGGAGAAGAGATTGAGTTTCTGATGAAATGGGGAGGAAAATTTAATCTTTTGAAGACAGAAGTGGATGATACAAAGTGAGTGATTAAAAATTTAAGCTGCTTTGTAGGTGTTTTGTGATGGAACAGGAAATGTTCACAAAGTATTTTATTCCAGTTGTCTTTATGGAAGCCAGCTGAGACACTGAACTTAACATTTCTTACAAAATTGTAACACCTTTAAAATAAATAAATACACCCCTACAATCAGCATAGCTGGCAATAAACAGCTTGAGGGTACAGCCCATTTTTCATTATCAGATGATAATCTTTCATCATTCACTACTTCCTCTGCTTGGCTTATGCATGCTATTTGGATACCTATCTCCATACAGAACATTGGCCCAGGGTGAAGCATTATACAGTGACTCAAAAACAGGAGTTCAAGCTTGGTATGAAAAGAAAGTAAATCAGCAAACTAAGGATAATCTTAAAATGGCTTCAGTCAGGTGGGGAAAAAAACCACAGTTAAAGCTTATTTTGAGCAAGATAATTCTTCGTTTTCCTAGTTCCTACTTTGTCCATAGTGCATGACTGGACCAAGCAGGCCAAGGACTTCTTCCTTTCCAGATTCCCTTTTTTTCAAATGTCAACTGCTGCCTCTATATCCCAAATTAGCTCTCATCTCAGCATACCTTACTGAGAAAACCAGAGAGAAATCAGGCTGTAATTATTTCTGTAATTTCCTTCACAGACATCTTCTTCCCTCATGTTAAAAGCAAACTGAATGGTAGTTCTGTTCCTGAGATATATAAAAAACCTTAGAATTACAGATGTATAGAGAAATTTTATACAGATGTATAAAGAAATAATTTTTAAAAAATTGATGGAAACTTAAATATAATTTCTGGATCTTTTCCTACCTCATCACCTCCCATCTCGGGGCAGAATTTTTCTGGTATGAATTTTGACATGTTAAATTTTTAAGCACATTGGTTTATTCTGTGGGGAAAACTTGGGGGTTATAATTAGACTCATAATGGAAGTAATTCTTCAACTTTACTTGTATAGATGAACTGTTAGTGCTTTTCAGAAATTAAAGGGAGGCTACTAGTTTCTTGAAGACAGACATTCAAAGAAATAGTCCTGAGCTAACCTTTTGTTGCGTGCATTTTCTTTCCCATTCAGAGTGAAGCTTTTGTTCTCCACTTCTACAGCTTTTGCAAAGTTTGAGGTGATGCTTTCTTTGTCTGCCACTTACCCATCAGCTCCTCTGCCCTTCACTGTCCAAACACTCATTGGGAACCTTAGGTGAGTAGAACAAGCAGGCCCATGAAGGACTTGAATAATTTTAGCTTCGAAGGTTCAGGACAGGGAGTAAAATTTATACTCTTAGAAGCTCCCCTAATATATTTTTCTTTTTTCCAGCCAAGATGAAATTTCTGCTGTTGTATCTAGTGTGCCACTGGGCACCAACTACCTTCGGAGAATGGTCAAGCTGATTCACCATAAACTGTTCCCGTAACCGGGGCTTCTGATGATTTACTGTCTTCACACTCACAACTCTAGTCAAACTGGATGTCCTTGCTCTCAGCCTTACAGGAATTTCCAGCTGATTAATTTCAATATTGTTAACTGTGAAACAGAATTTCGGTGTTTTATAGCTTCCTTTAGTGCTTTGAGAATCCAATTTAGCAATTGATTTTGATGTTGTCCAATATTTCAAACACTGGAATAAGACTCCAGTTGAGATGCCAAACTCCTCTTGTATGTCAAAGCATCCTGACGAAATGGAGAAGGCTCTGGAGAGCCAGGGAGGAAGGATTTCACATGGCTTTCATAAATCTGTCCTGCTTTTCTCCTTTTTTTCCCCTGGTTCTTCCAGTCACTGCTAACTGTGGTTCCTTTCATTACATTCTGTCACAGGCAAGCTCATGTAACCCCTTTAATTTTGCTTTGGCTCTTGTAAGGGCTTATGTACTGCAGCTATCTGCATCTTCCAAGGTTTACAAGACAGGAAGTTACTGCCACTAATGTTAGCTTTGTTAACCCCAAGATAATACAGCTAGTTTAATCACATTAACTGACTAGACTGCCTCCCAAGTCACAGAAACGAAACGTTCCACTGATTCACGAAATTATAACATATAAAATTAAACAACATGCACACAGCTAGGAATTACCTTTAGAAGCTCCCTGTCTCTAACCATCCATTTCTGTAATGTAGCACAATCCAAGGCCACCAGGTTCAAACTGGGAACTTGCCCTTGTGGATCTCAGTATTCTAATTATTCTGTATATAAACCCTTGTAAAATGCAATGTTGTGAGGCACTTACTAAGGCTAAGTTTGGTATACCACAAAGGGACAGGAGGACTATAGATGTAAATAATATGTTTTTGTTTTGTATGTTCAGCAGGTTACCTGATATAAGGAGATGTTGAAAAATGTTAGATCTATCAGGCAGGCTTCTACTATTGGTCATTCTGTTGCTTCTTGCTTGAAAAACACCTTTCCCTTGGAGAAAAACTCCATGTCGCCTTTCATTAAATAGATAAATCTTCTTCTGCTTAAACAGAATCCCAAACTGAGTTTGTTCTTTTTAGCTGCAATATTGGTAGAAATGGCTATAGTAGATCCAGCAAATCCAATTAAATGTACTCCATCCCACTTAAAGTACTGTGATATGCACTGATGTCTCTAAACCAAGCAGCTCCTTTAAATATATTTCAGTCAAATTTAATCATGTGTTCTTAATTCTTTCATTAACTTCCTAATAATCCTTTTAGTAATTGTAATGAAATTCCTACCCATAGCCTTCTTCCCTTTAAGGCTACTTTATAGCAATTACTGTTTTAAAAAAAACATCATCCATTTAGATTTCTTCCAGGTACAGTATTGTTTACCTCCTCTTCTTTTTTTTCCAAACCTTTAGCAGAATAAAGAAATATAGCCTTTGCTTAGCAAAACATGGTTGCTTCTTTTAGCTCTAATTTATCTGTTGAATGCTGTGTAGAAGTTGATACATAAATTTCCAGAAATTGCTGTCTGAAATCTTTTCTGCCTCCAATGTTCTTGTAAATGGACTAGAGCACAGAATGAGTATTGTAGCAAACTTGTACATGGAGACTAAATTCTCCAGTGTCAAGTTAGCAAATTTCTGGAATACTTTCTGTATACCCTAGAATGTTTCAATGTAATCTAACTTTGCAATGTAGCAGCCTTCAAGTTGTTGGGAGCTGTTGTGGTTGTGGCCTGTTTGTATGGTGTTGAAGGATCTAGCATTTCTCAACTCTCCACTCTAGGTGCCTGACAGTTTCTATATGTTTGTAAAATATAAGAATTTTAAGAAGTGCTTTCAGAAGTTTAAACATTGAAGTTTTTTATAAAGTTATTTGGGTTTTTCAATTTTCCTTCTATAAGGTAAAAATTAATTAAAAGTTTAATAATTGATATTTTCTAATGTTTTTCAAACGAAAAAAGAAGATGACTAACAGACATTCCGGGTATTGAATTTGATTTGTCTGAAAAAATACCTACTAACATTGGAATAATTGTTGGTGATCTAAAAAAATAGAGCAATAATATCTGATGACACTTTCGTTTCTCCTACATATGTTCTTAATCACCTCTGTTCCTTATAGAAGACTTTTATAGGAGAATAAATATTTGAAAAGCAGAAAAAAGACTTCAAAACCACAAATTGGCAAAGGATTCAGATGTAGCACCTGAAGGTTTCAAATTGATGTCTCCTTTTTTTAACCAGCAGAGAGTGCTGTTGCAATACTTCATAAAGCATTATGTTGTATGACAGTAAACAATTGTTGGAGATGACAGACTAATAATCTCAGAAGACTGCCAGATCTCAGATCATGCATTCTGTATTTCTGGAGAAGAGCTGTCATTGTCTGCTGTGGATGTGTGACTTGGCGTTAGAGAAAACATGCATCTACAGAAAACTGAATGCAAGTATGGTGTAAGTAAAGCAGTACCAGTTTTTAAATGTAAATGTTATTCATAATGGGCACACTTACGTCAACTCCTCCAGTATTTTAGGAGCTGGTGTTCACAGCATTTATCATTCAAAGGTAATTTTTAGATTTCTACAAGATTTCAGACTATACCTCTCAAGATCGCAAAGAATTAATGACCTCCATTGAGATAATATACAAGGTCTGTTCAAAAAGTATTGAGACTGAATGTGTATTTGTGGTGCAAAGTATTGGGGGGGGGGCGTGGCTTTGTTGCATGTCTGGTCATGTTGGGACTCCTCTGAACTGGTTTGCAGCTCATAGTGTTTCCCCAGTTTTCTGTGGCCAGTGGTTGAAGTAAGATCGTTTGTGTCTCGCATCCCCTTTTGTTATGTCAGAGTATCCAGAACAATGTATGGGCATTACATTTTGCATGAAAATCAGGGAAAATGGCAAGTGAAACATTTGAATGACTTAAAATAGCATTTGGTGATGACGCTGTGAGATGTGCAAGATTTTTTGAATGGTGGTGTCCTTCTCTCGATTTAGAGAAGGCCAATCATTGGTCAAAAGTGGTGAGCATTCCAGACGCCCTTCAATATCATGAAATTCTGAAATTGTGGCAGCAGTTTGCAGTTTGGTTCAAAATGATAGGTGATTGACTGTCCGAGAGATGGCAGAAGAAGTTGAAATTTTTTGTTGGTTCATGTCATTCAATTCTAACTGGTGATTTGGGAATGAAATTACCAGAAAAGTGAGTGTCTGACGCTTGGATGTTTTCCCATGACAACGCACCTGCCCACTCAGCACAGCTTGTGAAGCAATTTTTAGCTAAATTTTAGCCAAACACTGTATCCCACTAGTGCTGCAGCCTGCATATTCACCTGATATGGCCCAATGTGACTTTTTTTCTCTTCTGTCAACTCAAGAAAACCTTGAAAGGAAGAAGATTTTGTGATATGGAAACTAGAAAAAAAATGTGACTGAGCAGTTTTTAGCGATTGCACAAATTGCTTATCAAAGGTGCTTCCACCAATGGCAGAAACGTTGGGAGAAGTGTGGCTGCAGAAGGAGCATACTTTGAAGCAGATTAAGCTGAAACCCCTGTAAATAAAATATTTTATTTCCTACAACATCAGTCTTAATACTTTTTGAATAGCCCTTATACTTAGTAGAATTATGTTCATTTTCAAGGATACATTCAATTAGAACCCATTTTCCAAAGATTTTCACACACGCAGTTGCACTTCTTAGGTCCATTGTTTAGTCATGGCATTGCGTGCACAATTCTACAAAATAAGGGTTCCGGACCATGCCTGTGCTGGGGCTGAGTAATCAGTTGTACTAGGCCTGGGGAGCTGGAAGCTGTGCCCTTGCTGCTGCTGCTTTTCTCTGCCCCCCCTTGCTCCCCGCCACTCTTTCCCCTCCCCCAGCCACCAAGGCTGCAGTACAGGCACAGCTTCCAGCCAGAAGGGAGCTGTGCTGGGGCTGGAATGCTGGAAGCTGCCCATGCCACTACTGC